GTGACAGAGAGGGATATTTCCACGCCCTCTGTCACCACGGCATAAGAGAGGTGTAGCGGCGGCTTAAGAGAGGTACAGTGGCGGAAGCGGTGGAGGGACCTCCACCCCCCCTTCACGCCATAACACTGATGAACAATATTAAACAAACATAAGTAAATAAGAAATAGAAGAACGTCGATAAGGAGGCTCTTAATGCGGTCTTACGAATGATACAAAGAGAATATTGGTACATATGGGAGGCCATAATGGTTCTTTACGTCATATGATTCCATGGACGATCCCACGTGCCACTGATATCATTACTGTGCAATTATTAGTTGTCAAAGTTTTAACATTCTACCTGGATATTATAGGATAATTATCATGTCAGTTAACCAAAATCCTTATAAGCGGCTAACCCCAAAATTGCGCTACTATCAGTCTATGACAACAGTATTTCCATTACATACCTGTCCACGATGTACCGACACGCCACTGAAGCCAACATGGTTCCGGTATCACATCTGGCCACGGGAGAACCAGCACGCCACTGAAACCAACAACATCCCATTATCGCATCTCTTCAAGGAAGTACTGCACGCCACTGAAACCATTAGGACGCTTTTACTAATGTCTGTTACTGAAGCCGCATTTTCCCCGGTTGTCACATCCGTGCTCTGCTGGATTACAACGTGATTCTGTGACGTCATAACTACCTCTAAACTCAAGTGCAACTGGGGCGGGTTCCTGTAGGTAATAATAATAATTCATCATGTTGCTTCAGTTTTTGTCTGAAGATATTTCTATTATCGTCATTTCGAATGCAGCCTTCAAGACTCCCAAACGCTAGTTCGTTCAGAACGTTCAAATTCAATTCGCTGTTCAGGAAAGCCCGCCCTTGAATTTATGTAATCCATTCTGCAGAATACTGTCCGCGCACTAAAATTCAATGTACTTATTAATATTACAAGCTACCAACCCCTAACATCAAAATGGTTACTATACGTAACACCTGTGCCAACTTCAACTCTCTGCACTTTGCACGTGCAGTGTATTTGTTTGTTTCGCACGATTCTCACAATAAACTTCGATTGTACCAGCAATTAGTATAAACCTGCTATAATTACAGCGGAAGCACGGTATCTCTGAGACTGACAGGGACTGAATTAGTGTGTTAGCGAGTGTCTTGTGGGTTAGTGTTGTAGAATGAGTGGGTTAGCGAGTGGTGTGTAGACTATTGTAGAATGAGTGGGTTAGCGAGTGGTGTGTAGGCTATTGTAGAATGAGTGGGTTAGCGAGTGTCTTGTGGGTTAGTGTTGTAGAATGAGTGGGTTAGCGAGCGGTGTGTAGGCTATTGTAGAATGAGTGGGTTAGCGAGTGTCTTGTGGGCTAGTGTTGTACAATTAGTGGATTAGCGAGTGGTGTGTAGGCTACTGTTGTAGAATTAGTGGGCTAGCGAGTGGTGTGGAGGCTATTGTAGAATGAGTGGGTTAGCGAGTGGTGTGTAGGCTATTGTTGTAGAATTAGTGGGCTAGCGAGTGGTGTGTAGGCTATTGTAGAATGAGTGGATTAGTGAGTGGTGTGTGGGCTATTGTACAGAATTAGTGTGTTAGCGAGTGAGGTGTGGGTTAGTGTTGTAGAATCAGTGGGTTAGCGAGTGTCTTGTGGGTTGGCGTTGTAGAATGAGTGGGTTAGCGAGTGTTGTGTAGGCTATTGTTGTAGAATTAGTGGATTAGCGAGTGGTGTGTGGGCTACTGTTGTAGAATGAGTGGGTTAGCGAGTGGTGTGTAGGCTATTGTAGAATTAGTGAATTAGCGAATGAGGTGTGGGCTACTGTTGTACAGAATTAGTGTGTTAGTGCTGTAGAATGAGTTAGTTAGCCAGTGAGGTGTTGGTTCGTAATGTGAAAGTTGTCCATTCGGAAGTGAGGTGTGAATTATGTTATGAAATGAGTGGAACACTGAGTAACTGTAATAACAGAGAGATGACTGTGATAATGATTTAGAGTTACTGAAACCTGAAAATGGACGTAACTCCGTCCAAGCGGCTAGACCCTGCCCTCCAACGGCGTAGTCCAGATTTCAATCCATGTTTTAATGTGAGATTCGCGACGAACACACTTCCAGTGGAACAGGTTCCTCCCCGACTTGCTTCTCCTTCCCCTTGATAATCATCATTCAACCATTATACTCATCCATAGCGATAGCCCTGATCAGGCAGCACCTTATCACATCCTCAGTCTTTAAGTTACAGGCTTCATCTTGGCTGGTTATGGAGTGAGGTTCTCGCAGGCATGTGAAGACGTGTAGTCCGGTAAAATCCACTGACGTTTCGGAGGAACGTACTTGTTCTATGACCAGAACCGAAGAATAATCCAATGTTCTTCCAAATATCAAATCACTTTTAACGGGCTACACTACGTCACATCCGGGAGGAACCGGCGTTCAAACCTAACAAGAGAACACGAAGCTAAGCGACGGCTTCGTTTCTTTCCTTTTCTCCAATTTTTGCTTCCATTTGGTAATTTAGATCACCTACCGTGGGAAGGCGAGTGCAGTTGTACAAATCTGAAAATAAGTTGCGAGCGTTTGCTAATGACTAAGCGCTTTCGCCTAATTGGATACGTGAAATCTGTTAATAATGGGGACTCGGCCGCATCACGATACGGTATTTACCCCACGTAGTTACGTTCTCTTCCATACGGTTACGTCACCTGCGGCTACCCAATCGCTTGTGGCCTCGACAGATCAGAACAGGTGCTCTTCTCTCGCTCCAGTTCTTGCTGGAGCCTTGCGGCGGTTGGCAAACAGAGGCACGCATCTCATCACTCCTAGAGACCCAACCAACGAAAGAAAGGAATGTATAGGCAGAAATATAGAAAGATAGAAGGAAAGAGGGAAAAAAGGAAGAAGGAAAAAGGAAAGGATGAAGGAAGGAAGACGGAAAAGAAGAAGGAAAAAAAGGATGAAGGAAGGAAGACGGAAAGAAAGAAGGAAAGAGGGAAAGGAAGAAGGAAAAAGGAAAGGATGAAGGAAGGAAGACGGAAAGAAAGAAAAGAAAGAAGGATAAAGGAAAGGAAGAAGGCAGGAAGACGGAAAGGAAAGAAAGAAGGAAGAAGGAAAAAGGAAAGGATGAAGGACTGAAGACAGAAAGGAAAGAAAGAAGGAAGACGGAAAGGAAGAAGGAAACGAAGAAGGAAAAATGAAAGAAAGGAAGAGGGGAAAAGGGAAGAAAAATGAAAGAAAAAACACGAAACGGAAGAGGTACGTAAAAGAACACCGAAATAAACGAAACAAAGAAGTGAGAAGAGGGGAAGAAATGATGTAAACTGATTTATTTGCCCACTTATTCTTAAGACGGATGAAATATGAGGACGTTGGAGAAAGTCTCTATGATATAACCCGTAGTTCTCTCGAAATGTTATTAGAATAATCTCATCAAGGCGGGTGAGATGCACAGGGCGTGTAGAACGAATCAGAGAATTCATGCAGGTTCTAACAGGAAAACCGGAACGAAAAGAAACCATTAGATAACCTAGACGTAAATGGAGGATAATATTAAAATTGATCTTAGAGAAAAAGGATGCACGGTGTGGAATGGAGTCATCTGGCTCAGGATACAGACTAATGGCGGGCTCTAGCGGAGACGGTAATGAAGCTTTTGGTTCCATAAGATGCTTGGGGAATTCTTGAGTGGATTAGCAACTGGCGGCTTCTCAAGCTGGACTGAGCATCATGGATGATTTTTTTTTGCTTACTTACGAGTCATATAGCGATGTTATTGCTGCCTCAGAATTACTGTTGCATAATGAATTGGAGAACGTGTGGAACGAAGTGGTCGTGGCCTAACCTGAGGTAGTATCCCGTCCTTTGACTGGTATGACCCAGCAAGAGCAAGAAAATTACTTCGGATAGCCGGCGTCACTTCCCGGACGGAATTCTAGTGCGTCGGCGCCTGAGCGAAATCGTTAGGTAACGATTGTTGTTTGTACGGGAAAGGACATGTGTTTTCTCTGAGGTAGGAACTGAGCACTTAATTCATGCTTCAAAGGCTCCCGTGTGGAGGCGGGGTCCAATACCTCCACCGCATCCTTGCGAGCCGTAGGAAGCGACAAAAAGGAAACCGGTGTCTGAGGGTATAACCAAACCACCCTGTTCCTGGGGGATATAAATACGGGGATCTGACACTCCAGGTTGGGGGAGTCTCGGATCTGAGACAGTAAAATGTGGTCATGAGTCCCGCTCGAGTCGGACCTGAGAATAACTGCGCTGGCGAGGACCAACGGCAGTTGTAAACTACAGACCGATCCTCTCGTGAGAGAGGTTGTTACATAAGGACTATGAAAGTAAGCATTCAGTTAAAAAAAATTATGGTCGTGAGTCTCAAGGGACTTGTCACCAAGATACTCTGATTTGCGGTAAACCGCCAGTCGTAAAGTAACTCTGATTCTGACTGCTTCAAAGGGAAGTGTAAGACTGCAGTGCTCAGGAGCACACATCCGTCACAAGTGACCTTTATGTAAAGGAGAGTGGATGCTTCAAGCATAACAGGCCAGTTCCACACACAGAAACATTAACCGCTCTTCAGCTCAGGCGCGTAACAAGCATAAAGAGAAAAGCAACGTCATCTTGCAAGGACATTCTCCTTCTTGTCCTCCTCGCCCTCTCTCTTCTTCTCCTCCTCCTCCTCCTTCTCTTTCTTCTTCTCCTCCTTCTCTATCTCCTCCTCCTCCAATTTCTTCTTCTTCTTCCTCCTCCCGCTTCTTCTCCTCCTTCTCCTCCTCCTCCTTCTCCTACCTTGACGGTTTACGTTCTATGTATGGCCTGTTCCCTTTCAGAATGAATTAATTCTGAAGAGAATAAAGGCAGACAGACATGGCTCGAGTGGGATTCGAACCCATGAGACCGGCGTTTGAGCGGACGAAGACGTTTCATGTCTGAAACTGCTCGGCCACTATAGGCGGCGGGAAGAACATTTAAATCCAGTAAACATTTAGGTCTTTAATCACCAAGTTCATTTGGAATCAGTCAACGTCACACCGTACGTTAGTTCAGCTGAGCAAGTGCGAGTTACAGACAGCTCGATCCCTACCGAGTGCCGAGTGAAACTGGAGGAAAATGAGTTATTAATGTTAACAATTTCATTAGAACACTCTTCAGATGGTCCAAATGGTAGAACTAATCAACTACTGGGTGAGAAAAAATGTTTTATACGAACTTTTTCTAATGCAGGTGATGTTCGCTTCTAATTATGGTAATTAAATAATGTAATTTGTGCTTCTGTGAATAATTCTTATAATAACTTTCTTCATGTCTGATGAAAAATATTTCATACATATGTTTATAATACTTTCGAGAACAATTAATACCTCTCGAAATCACTTTTCATATGCTTAAAATTCTTATTATATGCTGTCAGTACGTGTAAAACAGACTTCATTATATTGTACGAAAGTTTATATCTAACACACTGAGGGCACGCGGTGGTGTAGTTAGTTGAGTCACTATGCTACAAGCCGGAAGCTCGCGGGTTCGATTCCCGATGAGGTAA